ATGCTAGCTATGCAATAAGGTGACGTTGTCTAGTAAAAAAAAGTAATTTTTTTTCTTCTTTCCTCTTCCATTTTTTTTCCTTCTAGTAGTGTTTGAAAGTATAATGTAAGTTTGTACTGTAGATATGGAGATATATAGCGTTTAAAGCAAGGATGGACTTAGTTGTGGTCTTGAGTTGTCGTATGAAGAGTGTTAACTGACGCTTGAAGCGTCCATTCTGTTAATGTCGTGACGGGTGGTATATTGGTAGAAAGCGGTTTGGCTACATAGCTAGTAGAAGGTTGGAAGGTGTGCGGTTGTTGTAGGATCTGTTCGTGGTGGAAGTTAGTATAGGGTGTGTAATGCATTGTTGTGGGGTTGCCTGTAAAAGATCTTGCACGCTTGTATTGTCGATGAATTGCTTTTTGGCACTTGAGCTCCAATAATCTTTTCTCGAGATTGCGAGTTACAGTGGCCGCCGTTATAAGTAAGGTTCCTCCTTGTATTTCATTCCAAAGAATATCGAATTCAGTTGAGAGTTCTTCCTTCGTTAGGAGAAGGTACTGCTGCTAGAGCAGTGTACGCTTCGGTGTATGCGGACCAAATAAGGTCCTTCTGCTGAGTAATTTTATTTTTCAAGTCTTTCACTATTAGTGTTTTTGAAGTAATAAAGACTATAAGTGGTACATAATCCACTGGGAATAGCCAGGGTGCACAATATTCATTGGCTTCTTGTAGGAGGGATTTTAAAATGTTTATTTGAATTCCAAGATGTTGTTTTGTAATTCTGAAATTGAAAGATGGGTTGTGTGTGGGTAGAGGCATCGCGCACGTCGAAATGAAGAGACGACTGCGCGTGTTAGTGTTTATATAGTGTGTCAAAGGGGAGAGAGCGCAGGTAGGTGAGTGTCGCGGTGCGACGTGTGAATGGCTATGTCAGTATACTGTAACGTATGTTTTGTGCGCCAATCGCGGAGTACTACGATATTTATTACGAAATTGATGTAATAAGTGTAAAAGCATAATGTATATGATTGCATCTAAGCTACGATTGTGATTACATAAAGGGTGTAATATAGATGATAAAGGGTATTACATGGGAAACTGATATGGGCAGAAAGCCGAATTGTGGCGTTTCATAAGGTGAGCGCGGCGATCACGTCTACAGTAGAAACATTGTAGCTCAATGTGACAAGACGTGACTAGATGATTAGCAACACGTAAGGCAACGTTCGCAACGGTTTCTGACTTGGCATTGTTGACGTCTTTCCGATAGGGTTCTGTATTGTGTACATGCCGATGGCCAATGGTCTCCATTACAGAAGGGTGCAATTATTGCTTCTCTGCAAACGTCTCTCGTCTTGTGGGGAAGGATCTCTAGCTGTTCGGTGTTCTGCCGAAGCGTCACAGCGCTGGGGCTGTTGGTGACGTTCCGCATGGTTCCAGTTTTGGATAGTATTAGTGAGTTGTTGAGTACTTCTCTCGAGTTGGAGGATGCGTTGCTCCATTCTTCGTAGTAATTCCTAAAGTAATAGATGGCAAATATTATTATGAAGAAGTATTA